GACTCATTGCTTCACAATTCACACCAGAATGTCCCTCAGGCTGCTTCTGTCTGCTGGGTAGCCTGGTGGATAGACGGCCCTAGCACGCCCCCTGGTGGCCAGCCACTGCCAGGCACAGCTGCACCCAGCAGCTTCCAAGATTAATGAAAGTCCTAACAAGATTCTTAACAGCAGAGGTCAGAACCCTGCAACAGGGGAGACAGGACAGGAGAGAACCCTAGAAGTGACACTGCATATCTCCGCACTGCACTCCCAGAGCAGGTTCCCAGAGGTCAGTGGTGCAAATGGGAGGCACTGCCATTATGGGTTATTGTGAGAAATCTGCTATGAACATGTTCACTCATGTCTTGTAGAGTACGCTTTCATTTCCGCTGAGAAAATACCTAGGAGTGAAATTACTGGGTCACAGAGTGGTTTATACTTAATTGTAAAGAAACTGTCAGACCCTAAAGTGATTGTATCTTTTACACTTGCATAAGAAATGTAGGACCGTCCGAGTTACTCCAGATGATCACTAACCCTTTGTATTATCAGTCTTATTAATTTCAGCCATTCTGTTGGGTGTATAGTGATATCTCAGTGGGGTTATAATTGGCATTTCTCTGAATAGTAATAATTTTGAGCAGTTTTCCATGTGTTTACCCATCATTGATATATCTGTCTTTGCAAAATATTTCAGCCTGTGTTTTTCCCGTCAAACTATGTCATTTAAACTAAATCATTTATTTCTTATATCAACTCTTATTTCTTCAATATAGCAGAACTATTGATTGACACAATTTATGTATTTTTCTGAAACAGCACAATTATTGATTAGCTGAATTTAATGCATCTAAATCATTTATCTCTTACATTAATTTTCATTTCTCTAAAACAGCAGCCTTTCTCATAGACCCAGAACCCCTGGAGCAAGACTTAAAATTGAACAGAGGGTAAAATAACAAATTAAAATTTGAGAATTACAAGTCTATATTAGCTGAGGAAATATAAAAAATTATTGTCACATTTAAATCAGCAGGTATACTAATTGACAAACAAGTTCATACTGT